TAATGCGCTTGCTCAAGAAATTAGAAGTTTATATGGTGTTTTAACAAAAGTAATTGTTTATGATTTCAGGAATCCTAATGGATATAATGCATTAAAAGAAGAATTATCTCCAATGGATATTGGTATTCTCATAAACAATGTTGGAATTAGTTACGAAAATTCACTTTTTCTTCCTTATCATGAGTGTGATTTAAATAAAAAAATTGATGTTTTGTATGCTAATGTATTTTCTGATGTCCACATGACCCACATGGTTCTAAAAGGTATGAATGAGTGCGGTCGTGGGATTGTTGTTCATATGTCTTCTGCTGGTGCATATATAGAAAGTCCTGCTTCATCTTTCTATATTCCAACTAAAGCATTTATGACAAAATTTGTTAAAAATTTACAACTCAATGCATCTTGTGTTGAACACCAATTAGTTTTGCCTCTCTATGTTGCTACAAATTTGAGTCAAAAAGACCCTTCTTTTTATGTTCCAACAAGTGAAAAATATGTCAAGGAATAATTGCGTACAATTGGTCTTGCTAAGGTCACTCATGGTTGTGTTTCCCATGAATTTCAAGCAATTTTGTTGAAACATTCACCTCAGTTTTTGATAACCCACTTTTTAAAGAAGAATTTTAAAAAACAAAACTAATATAAAATTGTGTTTGTATTGAAATTTTGAAAAAATAATTAATTTAAAGCTTATTTTTTAAATTGTTTGATTTTAGCATTTTGTAATGTTGTTTTTAAATGTACATGTTGATGACTTGTATTCACTCTTGTTTTTTTTTATGTTTTTTTTTTTTTTAATTAACTTTTGATTTGCAATCTATTTTAGGCCAATTTTTTGTTAAATTTTCTTATTGAACTATTGAGCTAATTGTCTTATAAATTTTCTTCAATCATTTTAAGTTAACCATGGTTTTTTCTGCGTTAAATTTTAAATAACAATTATAAATCCTTATATTTTCTATATTGTTGTTAAAATCATATTTCTATCAAGAAGTCATATTTAACTGATAAAAAAAAACACTTAGTTTGCAAGAACAATAAAGTAGTTGTAATGAACTTATCATTCGACTGTTTTGCTTATAAAAAGAAACCATCAGTACTTTCCAATAGTGGCGTCCATAGTTTTGGTAATTTTAATGACAATGATGAGGAAAAGATTTTAGGTAATTATTTTCTTTTTTAGATTTATGTTATATATATATTAGGGTATATCATACTAGAGCCAAAAATTAAATTTTTAGAATTTTGACTAGCACGCTTGGATTCCTATGTATTTGGGTATAGGGAATTCAAATATAATAATATTTTTACAAAATATTGATGTCTAGCTACCGGGAAACGGGTTTTAAAATTAGGGTTTTTTTTCAAAAATTAGTCTATTTTAATTAAAGCTTAATTTTGGAAAGGTTTTAGTCAATTAATACTAAAAATTACAATTATATTAGGTAAAAAGTAAACTATGTGAAATAAAACAAATATAATTATTATTTAACTTCCAGGATTCTAGATCCAGAGTGCGTAAAAAGGGCTACGGCTCCCCCCCCCCCTTTTTTTTTTTCAATATTTGATAGTTTTATTATGATTATAAAATCAAGGTATATTACAATTATTATATATATATATATATATATATATATATATATATATATATATATATATATATATATATATATATATATATATATATATATATATATATATATATATATATATATATATATATATATATAAATATATATATATATATATATATATATACCCACACACTGGATTAGGAGCAAGGGGAGGGTGCATAGGGCGAAAGCCCCCTCCCCTCAAACTTACTCAAAATACCCGTTTAAATTAAAAATCTTGCTGTTGTTTTTTTGCTACAAATTTTTTTTTCAGCCCCGTAACATTCTTTTAGGATCAACATAAAAAACAAGAATTTTTTCAAACATTTAATGTTATGCACAACAAAGTTTAAATAAAATCGAAAAATACCAAATTAGTAATTAAATATGCTACTGAAAGTCTTTTTTTGACTTAAACAAAGGCATTAGTTCACGATTTTGCAATTGTGTTCTTATAAAACCATCTCTTTTATCCCAACCACAGACTGACTCAGCTGCTTCTCTGACTAATTTGACTGCTCTCTCGCAACTTTGAGTATGTAATGAGTATGGAGGTAGCTGCAGGGGAGAAACTATCAATGCATTGAGTTGGACTAATGACATGTTTGTAGTGAAAATTGGTTCAGTAACAACCTCTTTTTTCCAATCAATAAGTTCTTTAATGTCACATGCATCAAGGTTTATTGTTTGTGGAACTTTAAAAGGTCTAACATCATTTGAGCCCAGCTCACTTCCCTTCCTAACGGCCAATATTGTGTCGACTGCAAATAACCTTTGTTCTGAGTTATCAGAACAGAGAAGCGAGACAAGTATATTCTCAGGATTAGCCCACCAAGATTCATTTCTGAGATAAAGTTTAGATGCTTCTTTAATCCTATCATCTTGCTTCTGCCAAAGGCGAAACAGCTTTAAAAGATGACAAGAACCGTATTTAATGTCATGCTTTACTTTAATCTCAAAGAACATTGGAAGATAAACCTGAGTCACCCAAGTTGCAAGCAGTCTTAAGATCTCTGCATTAACACGTTCAAGATCATGCTTACTCATAGAGAGAAGCAAGCATCTCATGCCACAAGTAAGCCATCGACTGTGAGACAATCTACCACATTTAAGAGCTTCTACTTCAGGATCAAGCTTTCCTTCCAGAATTGCATTCAAGTACTTCCATGCAACTAAACTGTCAGTGCTCATTTGCTTTAAGAAATCTTCACTGATATTAACAAGAGGCTCCAGAAGCGAAATAGGAGTAAATTGAGTAATTCTTTCAAGATTATCAACTTTGGAAAATAGTTTACCTACTGCTCCACACCATCCTTTATCTAAAGAAGTTGGTCCATCAAGTTTTTCAACAATATGACGGAATGGAAGCTCATTAATGTGAAGCCAGCAAAAAGATCAAAAAAGTTTTCGATTGAGAAGTTCTTCCACAAAATGAATCATTCCACCTTTCCATCCAGACATTTCATTTGTAGTATCACTGCCAATTAGTTGGAGATTAAGATCTTTACCTCTTTCCATTAACCAGTTGAATAATCCAATAGCACATTGCTTGGCTGATTCAGATGTTTCTGACTTAGGCTTTGGTGTATAATGAGTAAAGTAACAACCTCTAGGTTCTTCTGTCACAGTTATATGATTTTCTTTGATAATTTTTTTTTCTGAAGGTGCCTGTGGTTTTATTATGGATAAGAATTAAAGTTTTGTCTTTTCTACCATCAACAAAAATTCCAGTGATTATATTTCTTTCACAGTCGAAATTTTCTTCTATTCTGGAATACTTCATAGCACGCTCTTTGGCACGAAAAACTTTCATGCTATCACATATAAGATTTTTTTTATCTTCAACAAGTTTTCCTGATTTCATAATATCTTTCAGTAGACCATTAATGATTGCAGCAGTAGCAGTCGATGATACACCAAATCTAACAGAAGCAACGGCAGTATTACTAATATCAAGGTAGTTTCGCTTAACATAATTATCTTGCTTTTCTATGGTCGAGTCCTCTTTGCTATCACTGACTATATCACTATCACTAACTTTATCGATATCACTGACTTCTTCACTATCACTTACTATCACATAATTTGAATTATTATGCATTTCTATTGTAACATCCACATTTTCAACATCAAATCTAACAGTCGGTGGATAAAATGTTTCTCATGACTCTAACTTTAGACTCATAACTCTAACTCTAGATTTTGAAGCTTCTTCTCGTTGTCGTGCGAGTCTTGCTTGATCGATTGACTTGCGTAAGTGTTTTAACCTAAGTTTGGCAGTCTCTTTAACATCCAAACCAAATTCTTGCATAGATGAAATACTGCCTTGTTTTTCTTGCTGGTTTTTTATCCAAATAAGCTCTTTTTGAGGAATTCTTAAATTTAAGTCACATTTGCAAAGGCAATGAGCACCGCTATCACAAGATCCTTTGCAAGGGGGATCATTCTCACTGCAGTAAACAATTCTGCATTTGCAAAGAGCAATATCTAAAAGTTTATCAAGCTTAGGCTCCCAGTGTTTTATGTAAGATTTTTGAGATTTGTTTCGAGCTATCTTAGAGAATGCAGACCAACTTCTACTGAGTCTTAGTGTTATTCCTTTTGTTCCACAAACTATGGGTTCTTTAAATTCTGTGTTGGAAATAAGCCATCGTTCTGCAACCTCATAAGCAACATTAGAAAAAATTTCTTGCATTGATAAATTACGCTGATTTTTTTTCATAGACTAGTATTCTGTCACGCTGCAGATCCAGACAACGCTGTAAACAGTCACGTAAGGTTGGAAATTCAGTTTGGAGGAACTTTCTAGGACCTCCAAGATACTCACTTAGTTTGGTGTTAATCGATTTTCTAGTTTTCTTGCTAACTAATAACGCCATTTTTCTTTTTTTAATATATTATGAGTCTTAAAGATATAAAGGCAGCAATAACAGCAATTAATTTGAAATTAAATTTAAATAGTAATTATAATATTTATAAGGTATATTTGTATATTAACTGATACTTATACATAAAATAATTTTTAAAAAAACTCAAAACATATTATCAAAATTAAGCATAGGGCTAAACAGTATTTTAAATAATTATTATGTACATTTATAGCATAAATAGTCATCAATTAGAAAAAAACACAATATTTTTGGAAAATTAAAAACGTTTTCCCGGTAGCAAGACTTGTTTTTTCACTAAAAAAAATTATACCATTCAACTCAGGGTATATGAATACATAAGAAAAGTGATGTACTGAATGAAATTCATAACATGCAAAAGTATGATATACCCTAATATATATATATATATATATATATATATATATATATATATATATATATATATATATATATATATATATATATATATATATATATATATATATATATATATATATATATATATATATATATCATATATGTGAATAATTGTATTCTACAAAATAAAGCGCTCAATGTTCTTAAAGAGAGCAATAACAAATTAGTAGAAAATCACTTAATATTTCTTTTTTACACTGTGTTTCATCTATAAAGACTTATTTCTGATGAGTCTTAATAGATAAAACACGGTGTAAAATATATGCATTTATATATTTATATATATATATATATATATATATATATATATATATATATATATATATATATATATATATATATATATATATATATATATATATATATATATATATAGTAGAAATTAAAACTACGTGATTTTCACAACTTTAAGTTTCATGCTGTTGCAATCATCAGGTGAAGTACAAATATATTTTGTTTGTTTAAAAAATTATATACAATTGAAACTATACAGAAAAAACCTATACGGAAAAAACTTTTTTTTATTGTTATGATCGCGTGTATTTAATCTTCAGGTTTGTGGTTGCTCAATAGAAATTTATTTTCGTGACGACACTTAGAGATTAACTCTGTTTTTTTTATTGAGTAGCTCTTCAGCATTTTATTATAAAGCAAAATAATCAGTTTTTCATATAAACATAGTAAACATTTTTTTGTTTCATTGTTGTAGGCGGGGGCTTTTTTCAGGATAGACCAAGTTAATTTTGGTGTTTCTTTCAGTTTTTCTCTAGTTTCCCATATATGTTTTGAGAGAGTATGGGAAACTATATGGGAATACATAATATGGGAAACTAGAGAAAAATTGAAAGAAACACCAGAATTAACTTGGTCTATCCTGAAAAAAGCCTACAACAATGAAACAAAAAAATGTTTACTATGTTTATATGAAAAACTGATTATTTTGCTTTATAAAAATGCTGAAGAGCTACTCAATAAAAAAAACAGAGTTAATCTCCAAGTGTCGTCACGAAAATAAATTTTTATTGAGCAACCACAAACCTGAAGATTAAATACACGCGATCGTAACAATAAAAAAAAAGTTTTTTCCGTATAGGTTTTTTCTGTATAGTTTCAATTGTATATAATTTTTTAAACGAACAAAATATATTTGTATTTCACCTGATGATTGCAACAGCATGAAACTTAAAGTTGTGAAAATCACGTAGTTTTATTTTCTACTATATATATATTATAGCTCTGACT